GTCAGTTAGTAAATTTCTATTATTTTATTCTCGTGAGTATGAATTCTTATGACCTTAAAGAAAAGACTACCTCCTCAATAATATTAACACTATTTAAGGAGCAAGTTTTCAAAGAAAGGCAAATTTGTATCCCCACAATCATGCCTTTCCATTTGGATTTATTGCATTTAAGATGCAGGATAATTTTCCTCATATCTTCTATTAAATTTTTTACCTTTTACTGTGAAGAATCTTGGCTGAGGACTGCTATGGTTAGAACATCATAGTGCTGGGAATGGCAATGGATGAGTCTGTTCCCATTGCCGTCGAGTCCATTCTGACTCATAGTGACTTTACAGGACAGAATAGAAAGGTCCCATAGGGTTTCCAAGGCTGCATTCTTTATGGAAGCAGACTGCCACATCTTTCCCCCTCCACAGAGCAGCTGGTGGGTTGGAACTGCAGACCTTTCAGTTAGCAGCCGAGCTCTTTAGCCACTGTGCCACCAGGGCGTCTTAATGCGTGAGTAGAGATGCAAACTATCGCGTGGTCATAGGGTGTGACTGGGGAGCCGACACAGCGGCTCTAAATAGCTCATTTGTTGGTTATATTAGATCATAACATCCTTGAGGGAAGGGACAATGCTGTATTGCTCTTTTTATTCCACACAGGTATTGGCCCATTGCCTGGTTAAGACAGAAGTTTAATTCTTTCCTGCTGAGTGGAAAACTGGAGAGGTCCTCTCTGGCACAATCCTGTGCTCCTTGTAGCAGCTTTTTCACGTATAGTACCGGTTTCCTCTTTTTTTTTTTTTTCCTCTCTTTTTCTTCATTAGATGAATCACTGTGAGGAAAGTTAGTTTTCTCCTACCAAGATTCTGTATTTGAAAATCAGGTAACACAGGATTTCAGCAAGCTTGTGCTGAGATGTCTGAACGTGCACGTTTTTCCTATACTGGATTGGTAACATTTATTTGTCTCTTCTGCTCTGGCTTAACATTCAGCAAAGGCTTTAGAGCCGGCTGCATTCTCCAGTTTAGTATTTTTTCTCCTTATTTTACCTCTTTTGAAGCAGAACAGGCCAATGGGAGGGGAGAAGTAAATTTAAAAAGAAAATTAGTCATGTCTGCAGGTGAAAATGAAATATTAGAAGGTACAAAACCTTCTAATGGAAGTGTAAAAGCAACAACTTGCCTTCTGGTAATTTACTTTGATCTAAGTTACATCAGGCCATTTAAAATAGCACCTTTTATTACAAGTTCAGAGTGGGGCATTATTAACATTCGGATTGGAACAACCTATTCTTTTGGTGACAAATATTACATCAATATACAACCTTCTAGTTTTTTTTTTTTTTAACTATTAAACCAAATTTCCTAGAAAAAATAGAATATACTACTATTTCATTTTGGAGGAACATTTTATGTCAATTTTGATAACATTTTAGAAAATCACTTAAGATTTTTAAAAGTCACAGAATATCATTTTTTACTTCATGTTTAGTAAACGAAATGTACAGCATACCTGTAAGATCAAGCTCTTTGATTTTTGAAAGCCAGAAAGTTAGATGCACATTTATTC